CAATGCATTACACAATGATGAATGTTTTAGGAGATGCATTGGGAGTAATACTCTGGAAAAAAAGAAAACTCTGAATGTAAGTGTAAAGAATTGTTTCATTCATGCTAAACTGACTTTTTCTAACATAATACATGGGATTATTTTTTCTTTTTCCAAAGCTGTCTTCATTTACATCAATACAGTTATGTTGCTGTGAATGAGAACATTATTTTTTTTCTCAATATACTTGCAGCAACAGTTATTTGCCCCAGCATTGGAAATACTTATACTGAAAACTCCAGGTAGATCTATATAATAGAACATGGTGCCTGGAAGAATGCTCAAAAGAAGTAATGTTTTCCTCTAGCTCTGTATTTCCTCCAGTCCTCAGACTGAGGGAGTCTAAATGAGAGAGCAATATAGAAAAAAGGGGTTCCTAAAGCCAGAGCCAGGCAGGGAAATGCAGATTATGAAAACCTTCTCTGTATTCTTGTCAACAGCTTATAAAAGAAAAACCAAGGTGTCTTCCTCAATTTTCTTTCTATTACATGTACCTGAAGTACACTAATATAAAGTATTCTTTTATGCAACCTGTGGACATGAATAGCATCTCTAGCAACAAAAATGTACTGGTAGTACTCTTTTCCTCTATCAAAAGTCTATGTCTGAGATAGTCAGCCTTAATACCCTCTTTACTCAATGAAAAGAGATACTTTTACATCTCACTTTATCCCTCTTGTTTTAGAGAGCTGCTTTAAGAAGAGGTGAATAGGTCCCTAGAAGTGCTTATTCCTTTCCAGTGGTTGTAAAGAAAATCTAAGGAACTACTGTAGGCATCTAAATTTGATCAGATGAATAGCAATCCAGAGAAACATTCAGCTGCACAAGGAGGAAAAGAAATCAGGATTGTAACTCTGGAAAGAAAGTAATCTCAGTACTGCAAATGCAGGCAGCGGTGAGTACAGTACAGACATTCATAGGGCAGAGATAAGCAAGTATTGGCCACAATAAAGCAACAATGTTTTTTTAAAAAAACAATGAGTTATTAAGAATAGGCAAAAATTTATAAAGTATAGGTATTTATCCACTGATATGTCATGTTTAACAAAAGTAGATAGTGAAGATGCAGCTCCATTAACTCATTTGGATCTCTTACCAGCATTCATGAGGAAAACAACAGATTCAGCAATTTCTGAGTAAGTCTTAGACAAAGCAGCCAACATGGTTTGTTATTTAAATTCATTCCATAACAGTGAATATTAATTTGTAGTGTTTTAATATTCTTTGTGGCTGTTGTAAAAAAAACAGATGGGTTACATTTAGATATAACAATGTCCATACACATATGTACACAAGAAACCAGAGAAAGAATAGAACATGAGTCTAAAAATGAAATATAACTCCATAGCAATAATATTTGTAGCAGGTGAAGGATAGATCACAAGATTGCTTTTCAATAAATCATAATTTATTACATATGCCTCTTTTTGGATGCCCAGTTAGGTACCTAATTAGTTGAAAAATACAACTGCTGTGTAGAACGATGTTAATTTTCAAGCACACCTGTTGAGCATGGGGTTGTCATTCAGGTACCTGCTCCTTTGCACGCTATTGTGCACCACCTGCAGAAAATATTTGTGTGCCTGTCAGGAGGCTGGCACAGGTTATTAGTGAGGAAAGACCTGGCTTTGCAGATTCAGTGAGCAGGCCCATGGCCTATACAGCATAGCTGACAAACTTCATTACAATTCCTCACTGCAGCTCTAGCAGTGCAGCTTTTTTTGCTTTGATGAGGTGATGTGCAGGGAGATTCCTTTTTCTGCTCAGACTATAGATGCTTTTGATTATTTTTTTTTTATTTCATCTCTAGCTTATGAGTCCTCTGCTACCCTTACCTGTATTTTTTATTACTCTTTTCTTTACTTCCTTGACACATGCTGTATACTGTTAGAGAGCAAAGAATACTGCTAGACCTTCTATTCTTAGTGTTGCTCCATTTGCTTTGTTGATTATCATCCTAACTGTCAAAGAAGTGAAATGACATCACTTTGCAGTACCTGCACTCCAAAGTACTAGCTTTCACATTGTTCTTTGGTTCCTTGACAGGTAGAAACTGTTGCTGTTTTTCCTCATGAATGCTTTATATGTGATATTGAACAGATCACGGTGACAGCTAAAACATAGCAAGTGGCACTAAGGGGCATTTCTCAAATGTGGCTCTTTGCCCTTTCTTCAAATTGAAGTTGTTAATAGAACTGGAGTCTACCTATGTTTTTCTATAGAGGATAGGATCTTTACTGCTTAAATATCTTTTCATTCTTGTAAATATTACCTAGGTGACAGAGAGTGTGGATTTAATTTGGGAAGATTCCCTGATTTATTTTATAGCTTTGGTTTTAATATATTATTTTTAAAGCCGCTTTCTTGGGCCAAAAATAACATTGTCTTACATATTTACCCATTTTACTGTAAATTGCAGGGAATGAGGTTGAGGATGTGAAGCTCTATATGACTGGACTGACAAGAGGCAATTGAACAGTGAGGGAAGGCATGTAAAAAGCCAGGAAAAAGCTAAAAATGTGGTGGAGCAACCATTCCTTCCCAAGGAACTGCAGCCTAAGAGCTTTGAAGAGAACTTTGCAGATATCCCATTTCAGAGTTTAGTTCAGTGAAGTACTAGGTTACAGAGCTCATAGAAACTTTCCAGAGAAATTAAAAGATATGACAGACTAAATATTTCTGATGAATACAGTTAAACTTCAAACAGGCATCAGGTGGCAGAACAGTTCTTGCCTTTTTTTGGTGCACCAGTTCCCTGAGCAACAGGGAACTTTCTGGCCTTCTCCTCATTCAAGGGAGTTTGCCTGTGAGGAGACATCAGGGTGTTTGAGAGCCAGCTCTTAGCTTCCTGAGCAGCTTCTTCGTGGGTGTGAAGGACCAGGTATTTCCTTACACGAACATGAAATGTCCTTTGAGTCAGCCGACGAAACTGACTTAAAATGGCGTCTCCACGCGGCGCTGAACCCCCTCTGTGTGTGTGTGTGGGGGGGGCAGCTGCTGCGG